ATGTAAACATGTTGAAAAGGTTAACTTTAACCACGAAACCAGATCGGCCGACCTGCAACGTTACACTCTCACTCAAAGGATGGACGATCTGACAGGATTGTTACTATGAGGTGGATCACATCTAACGTGTATAGTAAAGACAAACTCACCGTGTCCATCTAGTCATGATGAAGATGTATATACATTTCAATTTCAGTAGGAAACTATTTTTACAGCTACATTATTGTTCCAGCCACAATTAATCACAACAATGTATATACAATTAAAAATGATTATATAAATTGTCAGTTTGTTGTTTTATACACATGCACACACACATTATTTCATACACGACATAGTCGTGAGATGCAAGAAACATAGACATATGGCAAGAAATCTGTAGACGCGGTAGTGGCGTAAAAGTAAAAGTTGGCTGAAATATAAAAACTCAAGTAAAGTAGCCTACAGATACTCCCAAAAAATACTTAAGTATGCTACTGTAACGAAGTATTATTACTTCGTTACATTACACCACTGATAATGATGCAAAATGGAGAAATGAATGGTCACTGGGGATGAAAATCTGCTTCTGTGTTTCTCAAAAGAAAGAAATTATTTATTATGAGCCAAAGGAAATGTCTTGTAAACAGTAGACTTTCCTATATGCCGTGGCCGGGTAGCGATTCCATAATTACATAATGATCAGTGAAACAATGACCTGGCACTTCTTAAAGGAGTTTAAAATAGATTCTGGCAAGGACCGCTGACAGGAGCGGACACAGACAAAATAACTAATAATCTACATGAAGGTGATTTTCAGTGTTAGCGAATGAGTTCATTTTTCTGTTTTGATAGGGTTTACACTTTTTTTATGTGAATTAAGTTATACGTGACTTAATGACACCGTAAAGTCTTCTCAGTATAAAGTATGTTATTAGTATATAAAACATCACCTTTACGTGGGAAGGGCGCTCTCTATCTGCTGGTATAAGCACACCACCATTTGATGAGCCTCACTGAGGTAAACGGGACACTCCGAGTAGAAATGTATCAATAAAAATGTTAAAAGCAAACGTGTTTTTTGAGCGCCAAATCAGCATGATTTCAGAAGGATCATGTGACACTGAAGACTGGAGTAATGATGCTGAAAATTCAGGTTTGCTATCACAGGAATACAATAAAATATATCAAATAAAATATATTTAAATAGAAAAGAGTTATTTACAAGTGTAATAATATTACTGTTTTTTTTACTGTATTTTTGATCAAATAAATGCAGCCTTGGTGAGCATGAGAGAGTAAACATATTTAAAAAATGTAACAACCCCAGACTTTTGAACTTTTTTCCATTTTACATTAGTGTGTTTATATAAATAAAAAACAAAGCCAAAGAATAAAGCCATTCAAAATCAGTGTAGAGCTTGTATTTCTATTTCATTCATAAGACTTAGTTATCAAGACAAAAGTGAAAAGTCATGCTGAAAAAAATATTGCGAATTTTGCATTATACATGTTTAGGTAACAAACATCAGTCATTCTTAATCAACAATCAAGCTAACAATGTTTTACTCTCAATATTCAGCAGAATATACTTCTCTAGACTGTATTTAATCTAGTATAAGGGAGTTCGTAACAGAATTGGGGGCTCGTCCGGGATTTGAACCCGGGACCTCTTACACCCCAAGCGAGAATCATACCCCTAGATTTATAATCTAGATAGTATCTCCATAATATTTACTCTTATGTAAGGAGTAAAAGTGTTGTTGTTGTTCAGGCAAAACAGACGAAACTCCACTTCAGAAAACTAACACATCAATTAGATGTTCATTTGATCGAAAAAGAGATGGGTTGTACCCCTTCACCATTTCTGCAGAAAAACTGCCTTTTCTTACAAGCTTTGAGTTTGAGCTGGAATAGGCCTAAAATAGCATCAATATTTATTATTAAATATTACAAACTTCATCACTAATGGAATGATGGAATGTCTCACAACATATCAAGTACACAGGTATTTAAAGGAAGTCTTGTATATTATAAATTACCTGTTGTTTTATATATTATACATTCTGAATTCTCACCTATCACTGCAGAAAACATCACAATGTTCAGTATGACGTATAAAACAATCAGAGCCTGCTGTGTCGTCTGATGTTGTGACTGATTCAGTTCTGTCTCATTCTGAGCAGATTCTGTTAAGAGATTTGTTCAGATAAAAATATAAAATATGCATCAACATCATGTAGACATCTGACAGAAATAAAGACAAAAATAGCAATTTAATGCAGTATTGACAGATATAACAACAGATCAGATAGGTTTGTCATGATTTTATACACTTACCAGAGGTATAAATTCTGAAACCATCACTGAGCTGTAGAGACGAGCCGGTTTTTGCACAGTAATATATTCCTAATTCATCATTAGTTATGTTACTAATCAATAAACCACTGAAAGTTAGTGATGAATATTTGTCTTCCACTTACAGAAGAGTAAAAGCTGCACCGTTGTAGCGTATGGACCAATCAGACACACCATTTTTCATTTGATTTAACAAATCAGTTATTCATTAGATTAACAAACATTCACAGACCCCTCACCCAATAAACATACTAGGTGCCAAGATGTCTGTGAACGAGGCCCAGGACCCTGGTTACCATGGAAACCACGACACCTATGCTAGACCACATAAACTTTACGACCTAATGGCATGTTGAGAGTTCTCCCTCTCACTACATTTTCCATAGGAAAGACACATAATGCACAGCAAAATGGACTCTTCTCTAATTAATTAATAGGAAAACCTTTCTGTGAATGAACACACATCTCCTCAGGACATTGTGTATGCCATTACTGTTCTTGTATAATTGTCTTTTGAATTGTATACTGTTGTGTGTGTGTGTTATGATAGATCACTAGTTAATATAACCCCACAGATACCATGTTTGGTCTCTTTGAATTTGTCTTCTGATGATCTAAATGAGCGTTTATATTATATGTGGGTACATAGGCAATATATTAGTGTTCTAAGAATCTTTAGTAATTTTGATTAGAGTTCCATATGCAAATTACCATGCTCTCACATAAAGGGTCATAAAACTCCCCAGTATTTCGAGAGGGTGCTCGCTGCAGACCCAAACATTGGTCCAGATGCACCGCCGCGCACGCAGGTAGAGTCCGTTCGAACTGATGTACAACCTGTATCGCACGGTAAGAAAACTGTACTTTAAAGATCAACTGAACTTTGAGATGTATATCAAATCTAAATCTTACATTTATCGCGGTCTCGACATGACTATTAATGTTATTGTTATGTTTTGACCCCCTGAAACATTAATCGGTAACGTTAGTTTTTTCGCGTAACTATCGATAGCTAATAAGTGCTAGCATTTTCCCATCCCCCTTGCTACATTTGAGCACGTGTAGTGTTTTTATTTACTCATAGTTTTTATTTAATTTAATTGTTTAACCTGCACAGATGCATCAGAAAATACTTTTGCGAGGACAGGATCCCCTGCTGTCTATCCAGAGATGCACAGTGTGCTGCCAAAAATACCACTGTGCCTACTGTAAATCGGTGTATAACCATTTACATGAGCTCCGAAATCATGTAGCTAATCACATGCGAAATGCAGTTCAAGAAGAAGGTATGTTTGTGTGTGTGTGAAAATTTTTAATTATAGTACTGTGGGTGTGAGAATGCTTGTTGAATTTGAATGTTTTTGCACGTCATAGTCATTTCTTCCTAGCATTTTAAACTAAAAATATATTGTTCATTTAATATGTTCTTGTGTTGTGAAACCTTTAGGAAGTCTGAATTTAACATACTTCACTTAAGTTTTTTGTTGTTGTTGTTATAGTTTTTCTGCATTACATTACTTCATTTGGATCACTGTAAATATTAAAAACAAGTATATAAAAACTCTTTACTGCATCTGACCTAGTTCAATAGTTCAAAGTGTAACGACAAGATGAACAAGCAGGCAGGAGGATATGGGATGTTGACTATCTCCCAGCACAACAGAGTTTGGTAATTTATTCATATTTCAATGATTGTCATAAATATTATTATCTGCATTACGGTTCATATTTGTATGTTTTAATGAGTTATATAACAATGTTTATTTCATTTTACCAGCTGGCTTATGTCTTGGATAGAGCCAAAGATCCAAGTGAGGATTTACTTCAGCTGAGCCCAGCCCAAACATTAAAGAGAAGTGACTTTTGGTCTTTGGCCTTTGATGAGTTAGAGGCAACGGTAAATGTCCATTCATAGGCATTATTTTGCTGTTGACATAGGATTGATATGATTGCAACTTTACTAATATTCATCCTTTTTTTTTTACCAGATTGCTAATCAGTGCTTTCAGCTCATCGCTGCACTTGCAGCTTCACAGGTCAGTTTGATAGCTTTTGTTGTGTTTAGTAATTCAGGGGTTACGAAAAATATTTAATGTCACACTGCACAATGTGTTTCTATCTTTTCAGGGCAAAGATGTGTTTGCTGTCAACAGTTATGTGGTGGTCACGTGGTTGCCTCCATATAACAATGATCCTCGGCCAGCTTTACCTGTTAGTATCCTTTAACATATGTGGCACACACATTTTAATGATTTGCTTATTTTGCTATATGAATTGTTAGTGAAAGAAATCAATAATCATACAGGATATTAATCATTATAACTGTGGTTCACCATGATTCTCATCTCACAGGATGATGCTGCAACCAAGGACTTCATGTTACTTCCCTCATTGGAGTCAGGGCACTGGATTATATGTGTAAATTAATTTTTTTCCATATGTTAGCCTGCTATGCATAATGTAATTGTACTTTTTGGTTGTTATGGCCATAATTACACAAGTGTGCATTATGGGCTTTCGATTGGTCCAATTCTCAAGGATGCACCGAAATTTTGGCCATCGAAAATGTTCAGCTGAAATCCTAAGTTTCAGGATAAAAGTAACAAACTAACCAGACATCTCATGTTGTAGGGTGTAGGTTTGTTGGTAGCCTTTTATCCAAACTTTTAAAGTAATTTTGAGGTCAAGTTTGCTGCACATCATCATACTGTGTTAAGATGTTAAGTCATTACCTTTTACAATTGTAAAGTATTTTAAGATTAATAGAATCAATTTTAGCTCAGTGTGTCCAGTATCTTCAGTTTTGCTTTGGCCAAGAATTTTCTTCTTCTGTGCATCACCAATTTCTAATGTCATGTTCTTTTACAGATCCTCAAGCCAAAGTCAAGGGAGATTTTATTTTTTGACTCCATGAACCCTGAAGACTTTGGACATGGGAGTTACATTCAGATTTTCAGGTTTTCACCTGAGGATAGCACAATTCAAGTTCTACTGTTCTGTGTTCATACTAATAACATGCATGTGTTTGGAGTTCATACTAACACAAATAAATGTCTGTGTTCTTATGTAAACCATTTTAAATGAACTGGCTATAACATTTTATTTTTTTACAGGTGTGAAGAGTGATGGAATAGTACTTTCATTCGACTTCATGAACTGAAATGTGTCGCGCATTATGAAATGTATGGTGGATCCAAAAAAAGATTTTCAATTGCTATCTTTTATCAGTCCGACATGCCTATAATCAGGAAGTGGTGGTGCTATCAGTTAATTCAG